CATCTATTGCACCATGTATAGCAAATCCAAAGGGTTTTAACTTGTCGTATCCGTCGATATGCCACATATCATTTGGACCTCTTACAGAGTACAAACGGCGTCTAAATCTTCTCATCGAACGTTGGCTCACTCCTTCAGGGTCTAGGGCAGCTATCGTTTTTCGCACAGTCTCTCTTGATGCAACAAGCTTATGCTTTGTGAGCAATCTCTGATGCATATGCCTGTATCCAACTTCACCAACACTTCCATCTAGTTCTCTTTCTACTGCATCAACAACTTCACGAATATTTGAGTGATTTTTTCTTCTGTAACATCTCTTTGAAGATAATATCCTTAAGATGACGCAAGGATATTTGTATGCTATGATAAGCGCTAAATTTTATTTATTTTATTTTACAAGATTCGCCAAACATAACAGACATAAATAAGACTAATACTTTACAAAATTTACATACAATTCGGGCAGGGACTAGCCACAGAGATAATCTCCAATTATGGGGCCCCTCACAATAAGTTACAATATATAACATGGAAGGGGAAGGATGAATTTGGTCGCGCGACGTTGAACCCGTTCTATTGACAGTATGTCGCTGACAGTTTGAGGTGCCCACACCTGGCTGGCATATCCTAACTTGCTGCGCACTAAGGACAGGTACAACACCTTTCGCTTTAGATACTTCATGTTCGGAAAATACAACGGTTTTGTCAGCAAGGCGAGGGTTTCTGCATGCATGTATTTTCTAGTTTAGATTTAAACAAAACGGATTTAAAGATCAGATTTTTAAACGAGCCTGCTCAAATTCAACAAGAATCTGTGATAGGCTGACAGCGAAGGGCGCTTAAATACCTGACACCCCCCTCCACGAGGCAGCATCTGAAATACCTAATTAACACAGAGGACTTTACGAGTTCTATATTTTTTCCATTAACAAGGTAAGATAAGTCGAATTAAGAAAGTTTTGATAAATTTGGTTGCGATCGAATTAGTGCGAGTTTAGGTCTGAGAGCTGCAGCCCCTGGAATTAGTATAAGATTTGTACTAGAAAATACATGCATGCAGAAACCTTCGCCTTGCTTACAAAACCATTGTATTTTCCGAACATGAAGTATCTAAAGTAGTTGTCATGGTAACACGATAATTCAATATTCTTACAAATGAAAAATCGCCTGAAAATAGCACTTTTAACTACAAAATTATTCATTTCCCAACATATATATGTTAGATATGTTATTATACGTAATATAAGCCACAATTTAAGGTAAAATTCAACCACAAACGCTTCGCAAAACGTTTTAAAGAAAAAAAAAAAATGGCTTTATCGATAAACTTTGAGTTTGCAATAAAACGATTTCAAATTTTCGCTTGCAAATAACTTTGCTTTCTTTTTTATTTAAAAAATTTGAATATCATAAAAAAGGCAATCAATATTAAACATACAATGAAATTTAAATATATGCTGTCTTGTTAGTTATTTCATACGCAAAGGCCGTCGGGTTTTAAAGCCATTATAAAATCAATATTTAAAACAAACTTACCTTCGTTAACGTCGGCTTCCATCTTTTAGCCGATTCTTTCACAGTTTCTAGTGAGAGAGCTTTTGAAATTTACAAAATCATGCCAAAATGCGAGCAAAAATGAAATATATTTGCAAGAAATTTATCAATCATCAAATCAAGAAATGTTTGCTATTTCGCTGTCGTCATGCAGTCGTTAATGCAAACTTTAAATTGAACCAATCAGTGTCCGCTATTCATGACAGTCCGCCATATTTTTGAGATCAGTGAGGATGACCACCCACCGAAACATCGTTGGTGAGCCACGCCCGCGATATTTGATGAACTTTAGACTTCGCTAATGCTTTCGTTTCCCCGGGTGTAAATAGCCGGGGGGAATTAGTACCCTCGCACGGCGCTTCGCGCCGCCGGCTCGGGGATAATACATTAATTCACTGTAAACAGCGGATCAGTGCAATCATTCTTTATATACGGCCCCATTGACGTGGACTGGAAATTATTTGACTTTTATTTTAACGAAATGTATTGTAACGAATTCCAAAATACATGCGTACACGTTTAAGCATGCATTATATTATTTATATACTATTAATTAAAAAACAATATAGAATATCAAGATCAATTATAAGTTTTTTTTGTTCCTTTTGAATTTTACGTTCTTAATTTACGTTTACTTCTAACGCTAACAATATTAAAAGAGACTGCACAATAAATTTTGATCCACAAAGCGTTCCAGTACCAGCCGAAAGTTTCAAAAGTGTAGCTTTGTAATTATTTTTAATGCTATACTGTGAGAATCATGTTAATAAATTTCAAGTTAATATTTGAAATTGTCCATAATTATTTAATGTTACGTTCGTCTTGGTATCTCTTTAGAAATTAGCTTCATTACTTCCGATATAAGTTGATATGCTTGCGAATATTCTGCTTGTAATAAGCATTTAACATATATTTGGCATCAGCTAGAGCTTTGTTGGGATCGACATCTGATGAAAAACATTTCTTACATGTGTTATACAACGGGCCGACGCAGGCAACACACGCCGGATCTGCAGGATCAACGCAGGCAGTGGCACATGCTGCCAAAACACCCGCACATTTAGTCCAGTCTCCTGTGTCACAATGAGTTTTCTCGCATATTTCGTTGCATCCACCATCACAATTACAGCAGAATATATTGCATGGGCCATTTCCACAGCAACCGACATCTGGTTTTCTCTTGCAGCACGTCGCTTCGAGACCGGCTACGAATCCCATTACAATAACCAATGCAAGGAAAAATTGAACATTCATGATGCTTGGTTGATCGACTTGTCTCAAATTAAAAAAGTTGTCAGTAGACAGGATCAAGGAAAACCTATCAATATTAAACAAATACCTTCATTAATATCAAAAAACAAAACGAGACAGTATTTCACTATTTAATTGACGTCGAGATAATATGCTTATGCATGTTAAAGATTGCAGCTGGTTTATCCCGGAGCCGGTGGCGCGAAGCGCCGTGCGAGAATATTAATTCCGCACGGCTAATTATACCCGGGTATGTGAAAACATAGCGGAGTGCAAAGTTGTCCTCCATTTTGTTTATGTCATGGACGGTTTTCGACGTTATGTGCATGCGCGAGTACAAGCTCTGTCTAGGTAACTATTATTTTGCTGTTTTACAGCAATTTTTTGTTTTAAATTTCGTTAAAAAGTTTACAATAGTACAACACGGTTTTTTCCTGATTTGGAAATAAGCCTGCAGTTTCATGAATTAGTCGCTGTTCAACCGTGAAACAAATTTTGTATAATAATTGTTTTGATGTTTTGATGTTGATATCTTTGATAATTTAATCGTTGTTGTGCTGGTGTGGTAAGTGTAAACATTTCATGCAGTAGTAAAATTCCATGCCGTACTTGCTTTGTGTTGTCGGTTTTATTCATATCTGCGAAATTTTTAAGCCGTTCTTAACTCGATAATTCACTTTAATGCAAGCTGGTATGCATGAAGTTGCAGTGAATGTTATCGTTCATTATAAAGCTAGCGCATCAGTTGTGTATTTGTGTTTGTTTGTAATGGTCTTTATACTTTATGTGGAGTTTTTATACTTCATCTGTTAAGAAAGGCGAGGGGTTGTTGCATGCATGTATTTTTTAGTATTAAAGTTAACGTTTGTATATTAAAGTTAATTCATGAACGTTTTCTATCACGAAGCGAGCTTCTGAAATGGAAAATCACAATCAACTACGTTGGAATTCGAATGATATAGTTTGTGCATTGGATTTGAGTAAGACACTCGTGTAGGTAACAAATATAGCAACAAAGTTTCAATTGGGGGGGGGCGGACTTTATCTGTCGTTCAGAAAACTTACTGTTTGAATGACGCAGATAAAGTTCCCCCTCTCCCAATTTACACTTTGTTGTTATATTTGTTACCTACAGTATATTTATACCAAGACGTAGTATGCATTGATGTTTTAAGAGAGCTTGCCTGTAAGAATCACAAAATGTGTGGCAGATATGAAAAACTGAAAGTTCTTCAATTTCCCTCGATTTTTTATATATATATATCTATCTATAGAGTAGGCCTATCCAACCCCACACATTTACTGAAGTTTCAGCCATGAAACAAAAAATGAAGAAAAGTTAAAGTACTTCAAAAATCGAACCAAAAATGACACGAAATGCCAGGAAATTTCGCTACATAAAGCAGTAAACATCATGTGCTGTGCTGAGCGCGCATTATAAGTTTTGGTCTGCTGTTACAATATATGTTTTTAGAATATATGGAACTTTCTCGTGATATCTTTTCTCCATAAATCGAAACTTATTGACTTGGTTATTTTAGATCAAAGATGGTTGACATATGCATAATTTGTTAGGGCTAGGATTTAGTCATTCGACGACGATTTCAGATGTTTGGGATTCTTTTGTGTCTTGGCGAAATTTGCAGTTAAACATGTACAATATTAGCGTAATGGGCAATTCCAGCTATAGACTAAATTTTGATTTGGGCAAGAAAAATCCATCAGTACAGCTAGAAAGAGTATGTTAAAATTAGTAAAATTACAAAGTTTCGTTGCAAAATGTTGTAATTAAAATGAGGAAAATATAGCCCTGCGAAATTTGCAAATTTTGTATTAATTTGTCAGTACGCACGGGAATTTGCACCACTTTCGGCCCAAATGTAGTATACAAAATTTGCAAATTTCGTAGGGCTATTATTTCCCTCACTTTACAACATTTCGTGCATGGCCAAACTTTGCAATTTTACTAATTTTAACATGCTCTTTCAAGATGGATTTTGTTCTTCTTGCCTAGATCAAAATTTAGTCTATATGATCTATTATAGCTGGAATGGACCATTTGCATTATAGACTAAATTTTGATCTAGAAAAAAAATTCATCACAGCTTGAAAGAGCATCACAAAATTAGTAATATTCCAAAGTTTCGTTGCGAAATGTTGTAAATTGCGGATAATATAGCTTTGCGAAGTTTGTAATTTTCTGTCATTTTAGATTACAAAACGGGAAATTGATGCCCCAACACCCGATTTGGACTGTCAATTTCCCGTGCGTAATACAAAATGACTGAAAAACGGCAAACTTCCCATGGCTATATTATCCTCATTTTACAACATTTTGCAACGACACTTTGGAATAGTACTAATTTCGTGATGCTCTTTCAAGCTGTGGTGAAATTTTTGTCTAGATCAAAATTTAGTCTATAATGCAAATGGTCCATTGCCCATTGGGTGGTTCGTATTAACTGGAGCGTGACACTGTGAATATTATTTCTTAAATTTTATTTCAACATGATTCTGTGTTTACTGTGGTCGTCACTGAGAACAAACGCTTCACTTCTTAAATATCGCTCATGTATTTTTAAATTAACTCAAATTTACATCATGAAAAACACAATCCTGCAGATATGCAAATACAAATATAAATAAAAACTTTGTCGTTGAATGGAAAATCAGCTGAAAAAGAATACAAGATGGTAAGCGTGATCTTTTCTAGAGTGCCTGCGACAAATTATCTCGTGGTCTAGTACGTAAAGAAAAAGTAGTTCCAAGATTGTTTACTACAAGATAAATAATAATTGATTTGTGACATTTGTAACCTACGCTGTTATAAAACCGGAAGTAACTTTCTCAACAAAGTTGTAAATAAACGCACGCAGCGAGACAATTGTCACTGTAGTTTAATATTGCTACTGAAACTCTCTGATTATGTTACATTGGTTTGTTACAGTTCTTGAAGCATAAAGGTAAGTCCATTGTAATTTTCGTATTTCCTTAGTTTTATCTCGAAGTTTTAATTTAATTAAATTACACGGAAATATTTAACCTTGGTGTAAGTGTTTTCCAAATCACCAAATGTAATCTAACTTCCACCGACAAAAATAGTAATGGGAAGAATTGTTTCTGCTCTACCATCAGATTTGAACTAAGTTCATATTTTGTCGACAGTAAGGGACAGCTCGTTACAGGTATTGCAGAAATCACTTGAAACTGAATTGAATCATTTAGTACAGACATCAAAATAGGCAGTCGCGAGACTGCACGTGCTATTGTGCACGTACTATATATAACACTGCGCGGGAAGTATTACATGTAACCAGACACAGTTCTATAATGTGGTGCCCTAGTGTCTCTAGTGCCCTAGTCCTCTAGTTTTGTCCTGAAGCCGGATTTTAAGCCCCCCCCCCATTGTTGAGACTCGTCGGAGAATTGGAAATTTGTTATGTTGTCGAGTTTGTCGGAATCGATACGTAGGAAAAGTTATTTCAAAGTATGTGTAATAAACTGCAAGTCGTACATGAATGTATAGATAGAAAATGTAAACAATTAAATATGCAGCGTCAGCAGCGATAAATATAATTATTACCTTAGAGGTCACATGAAGAAAATATGCTTATGATTCCGCATAAACGTACAAACTCACAGGCAGAATACAAAGCAGGTGTCAAACTTGGACGGGCATCGCAATTTAAAGCCATGCTTGGGGTTGCGGCTATGTTTTTTACGTTTGAAAAAGTTAAAATGTTCTTGGTCGTGCGTGCGTACCGAGCGTACGTGCGTGCAGTATGTATTAATGTATATACACATATACTGTAGACAAAGTAACTTGAATGCAAAGAAAATCATTAAGAAGTAAACTGTGTGTTACCAGTGTCATTTACAGTGAAGCATGTTAACTTTTTGAATAGAACAAGCGTAAGATATAGAATCCAAGCACTCAATTACGCTAATATTGTACATGTTTAAGATCAAATTTCGCCAAGACACAAAAGAATCCCAAACATCTGAAATCGTCGTCGAATGACTACATCCTAGCCCTAACAAATTATGCATATGTACATTTATATAGAAAGTAGGACTATGTTTAAATAGGCGATTCCCAAGACGTACTTTGGCTAGTTTGGAGAACCCGGAAATTTCAACCATCTTTGATCTAAAATAACCAAGTCAATAACATTTTGATTTATGGAGAAAAGATATCACGAGAAAGTTCATATATTCTAAAAACATAGATATATTGTAGCAGCAGACCAAAACTTATAATGCGCGCTCAGCACAGCACATGATGTTGACTGCTTTATATAGCGATATTTCGTGGACATTTCTCGTCATTTGTGGTTCGATTTTTGAAGTACTCTAACTTTTCTTCATTTTGTGTTTCATGGCTGAAACTTCAGTAAATGTGTGGGCTTGGATAGGTCTACAATATATATAAAATCGAAGGAAATTGAAGAACTTTCAGTTTTTCACATGTGCCAGAAAATGGCGATTTATTGCGATTTTTACAGACAAGCTCTCTTAGAAAGATTTAATGTCATTTGATTTGCTTCCGACCAATTCTGAATGCTTTCCACCTCAGCCTCAGCAGAATCCGATCCTGATTTTACTGGAGCAATTGTCGTTATATCATCAGCAAATTTAACCAATAGGTTGTTTTGCGCATCCATGGGTTTTATATCATTAACCATCAACAAAAATAGAAAGGGACCCAAAACCGTACCCTGCGGTACGCCTTTGTTAATATCAACATAAACAGTTTCTATGCCATCAACAACAACTCTTTGTTTTCTGTTGGCCAGAAAACTAATAATCCAGTTTATAGTATACGCGTTAATTTCGAGTGTTTTCAATTTTTCACAAATGTTATGAGATACCGAGTCAAACGCTTTCTTATAGTCAAATGATATTACCATAACAGAGTCTGCACCTTCATCCAGCCGCTTGAGCCAATGATGCAAACACATAATCAGAGCATCGGTGGTATTTGTTCCCTCTTTATAAGCAAATTGATCTCGTCCGATCACGGATTTGAATGCAGACGCAATCTCCTGTTTATAAACTACCCTTTCAAATAATCTCATAATGATGTTTGTGAGCGATATAGGCCTCAACTGATTACACTCTGTCAAAGGAGATTCTTTGTGTAAAGGGTTCACATTGGCGAGCTTCCACATCAGAGGGACACATTGTTGTTCTATTGAGAAATTGAACACTTTGGTAATTATATGGGCGCTAAAAGTTGTGCAAAGTCTTTCCATAACCAATATGGAAGCCCATCAGGACCTGGCGCTGTTCGTTTTAGTTTCGTCAAAAAACTTATGACAGTAGGCTCATCAATGGTAGGAACTTGAGTGCCTACAGGAATTGGTATGAATTGGGGGGATATGTAATTCGCATCCGTGTTTACATTTTGAAAGTACGAGTTAATATGTTGTGGATCGATGACTGAGCTAATATTGCTGTTCTTGCTTTTTCTGCCAGTAATTCTATTCACAGTATCCCACCACTTTTTGGATCCAAAACTATTTTTTCTATTCTCATCATCAACGGAACGAACAAGATTTCCACGAATTAGCTCATCAATACGTTTTTGAAGATCATTGTTGACTCCCTTCGCTATATTCTTATTCCTTATCTTACATCTTACATTCCTTATCTTACATGTGACTCCAATCACATGTCTCCAATTTCCTCATCATACTGAACTTCCGATGAGCTCTTACGTCTCTAAAGTAGACATCCTTTCTTTCGGGTTTTATAGCATGTCGCGGAGAAACCATGACAACCAAATGGTCAGATCTTACTAGACCTTTAAAAACCTTTGATTTTTCCCAAAGATGTGGACAGTTGGTTAAAAATACATCCAAAATTTTATGATTTCGGGTAGGCTTCTTGACTAATTGTTAGGGTAGGCTTCTTGACTGATAAGGTCTTTAGTTTTTAATTGATTAATGTCTCCTGCTATAATTATCCTTGCATTGGGCTCAGGATAAAGAATCTGTTCTATAGTTTCAGACAAATGATTTAGTAACTCAGTCTCAGGATAAATGGGGTCAGGTGGGTGATATACTGAAGCTACGTAGTATTTAGTATTAAGTGTTACAATTTCACACCAAACACACTCAAGATTGTTGTCAAAATCAAGATTTTTAACTTTCCAGTCGTCTCTACACAGAATAGCCACTCCACCCCCCCGACCGCGAGTCACACTGGTCTTTTCTGACAAGAACGTAATTGCCGAGACACACCAGGCTTGACGGAATTTTGTCGTTTAACCATGTCTCAGTAACGAAACAAATATCAATGTTATTAGTGCATTTGGGTATAACTTTAGGAATTGGAGGTCCCGTTTTTTCTAATGTTATACTAATGTTGTTAGTTGTGTTACAAGATCTAGGCGTTTGTGGAAAAAAAGACTGTTCGATTTCCCATGCATTATGTCTGTTTCTTATTCTCCTTACAGTTCTACGCGATGCTTGCTTTTTAGCTGGACGATGGCTAATTCGGACAGGGATCTGAAATGTTTCTTTTGAATTCAACACGTTTGGCGTAGCATTTAAAGTGCCTTCGGCTTTGTTTCCACTGTTTTTTTTATTTACATTTGTAGAAGCACTCTTATGCGATTGTTCGGTATTGCTGGTGGCAGAAAGTATGTTTAGATTTCTGCCCTCATGGGAAAGCTCACCTACTTTCGACTGTTCACTATTGTTCCTAACAGTGAAAACCACCTTTGTCAGGGTTAATTCCTCTTGTGAGTGATTGATGGATTTTGTCAATGGCACTAAAACGTGGTGTGAAGTTTTCTCGCATGACTGATCTATAGCCGTAAAAGTTTATGTGTTGTCCGGTACTTTCTACTTTCATCAGTAGAATCGTCCTCTCTCCTCCGCAGAGGCTTACATGAAGTTTCTATGGGGGAAAAGTGAGCGCGCAAGGAGTGATGGAAAGGGCTAAATAAAGGACGCCTCTGGGAACTGGGAAGCCTCTGCGAGTTAATGCAATCAATATGGCGTCGTATATAATCGTTTGTAGCGAAGTTCGATCAACCATCGAGGGTGTTAAAATATGTTTTCGACTTTCATTTTCAGGCGTACTTGAGTGTCCTGGTGTGAATTAAATATCAATATCTTCTTCCGTCCATTTGTATCGAAAAATATTGAGAAATTTCAAACGAATATCAATGGATACGAGCTATCTAATTATAAATATCCTCTTAATTGCAGCATTTCTTTATAAAAATGACCCTATTGAACTTCGATACTCAGATTATGAAGATTCATTTCAATTTCTTTCACATTTCCGTCGATTTCAAGTTTAAAAAAGGTCAAACAGCTAGTTTGGTTCAAAAACCATACTTCGTCGCATTATCTGGCAGAGCCTCCACAACTTCATTTCAATCTTCCCATCACACCGCGCGTGCTCACTTTTATTCAGGAAACTTCATGTAAGTTATTTGTAAATACTTAAGGAGGCTCTGCGGAGGAGAGAGAGAATTGTCTATGGTGTAGAACAATGGCGCCACTGAGAAGTGAGAATGGCGCCAATTTTTGGCGCCAAAATCTATAAACCAGTGCTTCCACAGCCCAATTGTCTTAAAATTTCAATAAAATTTCACGTAAATTTCATATTTTAAAATTTTCCATTTTTCCTGTAATTTGTATTTTCGGCTGTTTCGTTTCGGTCGTTTCGGCCGTTTCGTTTCGGTCGTTTCGACCTTTCGCCTTTTAGTACATGTCAGCGGGAAGAACCTTTGGAACACTTCTATAGCTAATCAGATCGTGCCGAACCAGTCACGATGGTTAATAGTGTAAATTAATCCAGAATTAGGATCACAGCGTTAATTGATTAACAGCAGGGTTAAAACAATGGCCTTCATTGGCTGTTTGAACCGTATGTCCTTTAAGATAATATACATTGGTGTTGTTTATTATGTTAGACTGGTGTAAATATGCCTTTAGTTTCGCGAGAGGATTTCAGCAACGCGCTTAATTCGGTATTCAAATTTTTTACTGGTATTATTGAGATGATGCCCTGTTTCAGTTTAGTCATCTTCCAGGTACTCCTGTCGTTGTGTCGAAAGTTATATACAAAGGGTTACAATAGTTTCCGGAGAACGGTATGGTCTTAGTCATAATGTATGTGATTCCGCCGAATCCTCCGAGCGGAAGGTCTATAAATGATATATTATACCGAAAGTAAAAGAACTCACTAAGTTCAGAATAAACTTTAAAACTATAAAGCGAATACAATTTTTAATTTTTTTTATTTAAACAATATATAAACTTTACATTTGTTTCAAAAGCAGCTAGGGCCTATCGAGGAAACTGATGTAATTTAATATGCAATATTTTTTTTAAAAAGAAAGGAGAATAGGAGAAAAAAATACAGAACAGTTCGTTAAAAACTAACTATTATGTATTTTTCAAACGTTTATACACATACAAATATATAACTTACACAAAATTATATAGGTGATTACGAACAGGATACTTGTTCCGTTTAATTAATCTTTTCTTAAACACAGCAAGATTTTGACAATTTCGAACTTCTACAGGCAGTAAATTGCATAATCTAATCGCAGAGGGTAGAAATGATTTTTTGTGCCGTTCAGTACGCGAGGGAGGTACACTAAGGTTATAATTAGTACGGAGGTTATAATTCGTCCTACTATTGTTACTTATAGGACATAATTCGGATAATTATATTGGAGTTAAGTTATTTAAAAGCTTGTACATCATAATCAATTTGTGATCTTTGCGTCTATTTTTTAAAGTAACCCATGCCGTCTCACAAAGCAAATTTTCCCTATGCGTACCCTTCATATCATAGCATTAACTAGACCTTAACCCTTAACAACTTTTAATTTTTTATGTATACCTGAGTTTTTGACGTTTCCTCTTTAAAATATTTGAGATGTATCCTTTGCGTCGTTGAAGGTAACATACGTCTTGAAAACTCTTTGGTTAATTAACTTAATAAATCTTCTACACGAAATTACAAACAACAGCTCGCGAACGCCGTATTGTTTCAGAGGAGATACTATAATATCCCACGCTGGATCTACAGTGGGATATTATAGTATCTCGCGCTGCATTGCGAAATCATGAATATGATTGAAATACCGTAAAAATCACATTGCCGCGTGGTACAAATGCTGTTTTTTGATTGGACAATTTGAGTTTGAGGTATAATATATTAAAATAACCACTGTGAATAACGATTAATTCACCACAAACTCGACAATATTTATCGTCTCCAACTTTTAACAGGTGTACTTTCAGATGCCATATATAATATTATTCCGTTTATTTTACTGTGCTAATTTTTTGTTTTGAAATTGACACATTCTGCACATTGCACACGCCAAAAATCATCATCAGCAGAAATAAGTACTTGCCCTATTGGCTAACGTTTGATTGACATCTGACAGACAAAAGAGTAAAAGCCATAGAGGTGTTCCAGAGGTTCTTCCCGCGCGTCTCCCGCCCAGCTTGCATCCTCGTGTATCCCTCATTATCCCCCTGGGAGCGTGGAAGAACCAGTCTGGCACCTAACTATACTGGCACCCCAGGTACAGTTACAATTACAGGGTACCTTAAAATTAAAAAAATACCGGTAAAGTTACAGCAGAAGTAACGAATTAACTAGACCTTAACCTTTACAGCGAGTATGATCACGGTCAACCTCGTTCCCAGGGCTTTTCCCTTTTTGTCATTGGGAAGGCGGGAAAAGGCCCTGGCACCGGCCGGTCACTCTCTCCTCCGCAGAGGCTTTAGTTTTCTTAGGATGAGTATTACGATGAGATACATTTCACTACACTTTACATGGCGGATCTTGAAACACGAGCGTAGCCGCTGGGCGAAGGAGCGCAGGCGGCAAAGGGGAAAGGCGAAGGAAGGCGCGAAGCCTCTGCACGATTTGCATCGCAAAGTGGGACAAAGTGTAAACATCGAAACAAAAGGTGATTTTTAAGCTAAACAAGAAACGTCTTTTTGAAAATTAAATCATTATTTAATGCATGATTGATTGACCTCATTGACTAGTGCTTGCATGTTTGTGGATGGTCAAAAGTAATATTTTT